TCAACATATATTTGTTGAATGAAAGAAATATTTATTTAAAATGCAATATATGAAATGTGGAATATTTAAATAAAGGGATTTTTATTATATATAAATAATGCAATAAGAATTATTCAAGAGAAATTTTACTCAACATTAAAATTAAAATAATTTTTAAATACATTAATTTTTGAAAAACTTCGTTATATTAATTTTATTTAAAAGCAAATCTGCCGAAAGAAATTTTTTTTAAATTGAAATATTTTAACGTAAATTTTAAATTTAATTATTATTAATATGTTTTTGGCGGTCCATATAACTGTTTCGAATATTTCCAGATATACCTACATTATCAGTAGATTTCGGTAATATTTTTTTGTTTAATAATTTGTAAATAATTTTTTAGACTGCAAGTACTAAAGTGTGAACTAATGACTTGCAAAATTTTAAGTGTAGAGTCATGTTTGTTTATCAACTAACCCAACACCGTATTCAAAACTGCTTTCTTAGCTAATTGAGGTGGAGTCGTTCCTCCCTCCACTTCAACAACCCAACACCGTACTTGAGTTTTTTATTTTTACTTAAAGTTTTGTTTATTTATTGTTAAAATATTCACTAACAAATCCACTTCCTGTGTTATATTAGAACGCAGTCAGAAACCACAGTCACATAATAACTATAATTAACTAATTGTAGTTCTTGCTGTCAGATTTCTATATTATTCCTTTTACGAGTATAGAGACCATATTTGTGAAAAATATATTTATCATTTTCTTATGTATTGCTCCTTTTTTGGGCACTTATTATTACTAACATATATAACTACAATTACACTGATGAATATAAGTATGTAATTACACTTATGATGAATAAATAATTTTTATACTAGAAACACCTATATGGTCATTCTAAAATTCAATTATTTCAATTTATAAGAATAAAAATGTTGTTATTTTTCTGTTTATTGTTAAAAACTTTTTTTAAATATAATTTAATACTTCTATTTTAATTTTCTAACAACAAAGCCAAATTTTTGTTAAAATTATAGATATTTGTATTAAATTCAGCTATGACCTCGATATAATTTCTTTTTTATTTATAGGTAATAGTATAAATGTAATTGGAATTTGAATTAATATATTTATTATTGCTTTTTTTGCATTTCAAATACTTCAATATATACGTTTCTTCTTTAATAATGCATTTTCTTATAGTAAAACGACATTTCTAAGAAATGATTTGCATATAAGCACGCACAAAATTTACAATAAAGCAAGTGCCTTTTATTAAAAATGAATATTTAATATAAAAATTCTAAGAATTAATTTATCCTTGAATGCATGATTTTGCAATGGGACTATAATTAAAATTAATATGCAAGGTTTTGGAACTAGTTCAGATAGTGAAAACGAAAAGCATTTATTTAATATGCTTGTACAAGATTTCACAATTAGAAACATATGGCCTTATTTAAATAATGACACAAAAATTTTGGTATAATTTAGTATATTATTTATATTATTAAACGGGATTTACTTGGATTTTTAGATTTGAATGTTTTGTCATTAATACTTCCCTTTTTATTCGAAATGGTTTTCTTCTCATAGGACATAAAACTCTTAATTAGAAATTATAGACATATAGAATTTTCTTCATAAGTATATTTTTATATTAATACTGCTTATTGACTAAGTACAAAAAAAGAATACAGAACTTTTAAAAAAAGTCGGCATTCTAGTCAAACAATAGTTTGACGGCATCAGTAATAGTCCGAACGGGATCAGTAATAGTCCGAACGGCATCAGTAATAGCCCAAAAAATTATATGTGTATAAGGCAAACCTAAACTATATTGTAAAATTATAACTCCAAATGGTAATATATCAGCCCTAATATTTTATTTAAATATTTACAAAAATATTTTATTATTTATATATTAAGATTCGTAAATCAATTAAATTTATTTCAAAAAGTTGGTATGCTTTGATTGACTACCAAATATAAGCTCAAAAATATAGTTCGTTCAAAACTTGAACGCCAAGTTTTGAGATTGAGATTATATAGTTTAAGGACACATTTGTTCAATTTTAGTGTAAAAGAGCAGCATATTCTAGGCTTTTTAATTTTTGAACTACTTCAGTAAAATACTTTATGCAAATATTCAATATACTTCTATACCTTTAAAACAAAAATAAAAAAATTTTATATCTTGTGAGAATAAGAGAAATAATTATTATTAAAATTTAATTCTTCCTTGTCTCTAATAATAATATAGTGTGTAAATGCAAGTATATGATTTATTGCACATATAATGAGTTCACAAATTTTCCAACTTCTTACCATTAAAATAAAGTCACAAAATATATTTAGTCTTTATGTGGCAGTTAAAATTTTTTCGATTGCTGTTTTATCTATAAAATAATCAATAATGAGTTATTAAATTATTGTTTTATTATCATTACTGTGGTTATTAAACCTCAAAAATACAGTAAAATTTACAAAATTTATTGGTTATAATGATATAAGCAATAATATAATTTTCTATAATAATTTTTATCAACATAAAAAACATATAAATATATATTAATGACAAGAAAAATGTGAATTTTGATATTATTTATATAAACGCACATCAAGAATAAATAAAATTTATTATCAAAAGACAATTTTTAAAGCACTAACAACAATCAAGCCTGTGTGAAAAAGCACATCCTCTTTAATAAAATCATTCAAAAGACAAGAACACAAGGATGTTGGCAAGGATAGCAAATAGCAATTTATTTCATTTTGCTTGATTGTTTCTACTACTGCCTCTCTTTGATTCATTGCCATGATTATGCCGAAGATTAATACAAACGCTTTCGAGCTGCCATTTGTTTATATAGAATAAAATGTGCCAAATGCTTTTATCAAGGAATAAGCAACAATAAAAAGCAGTCAACACGGGTAAACAATTAAGTTTTTCCTTGATATCCCTCTCAGTAGCCATATAAATATTGACCGCTTGTGTTGCTTTATTTGCACTGCATTTCAGATTGTAGATACTCAGTATAAATTTGCAAAAAAACAAAAACCAAATTGTTTTTATATGCAATTTATTTATTTAATGAAAAAGAAGTCATAAAAAATCTGCATATTGGTACCATTGTATGGCAAATAGTTTAAGGTCCTTTAAAACAATATAAAACCATGTTAAGCTGCTCGGCTATTTGCACATATTTGTCATGAAAAAATATTCCATTGTGAGTGATACAACAAAGACAGATAGTTTCATTGAAGCTTCTACAAATCCGGGCACAATTGACGGTGCTGATGACGGTGCTTTAGCTTCAGTTGACAATAATATCAGGGAAGTAAGTTTAAATGAATTTTAATTTATTTATTAAATTATTTTAATTTTAATTTAATTGAATTTTGATTTAAATTTGATTGTATATAATTCTTATATATGTGGAGTGTATGCTAATTTTTTGTAAGTTTGCAAACGTGTAAGAGGTAAATTTTTTCTATTTTTATTCTAATAATACTCTCATCTGTAATTTCTATTCATACTAATTTTGCTTTTCATTTATTGCCTTTCATTAATTTCATTATACATATATAACAGTCTCGTATATTAAATGTTATTATCAATAAAATATATTTTTACTAATAAATATTACAAGAAAGGCATATGAAATTTTTTTTTTACCCATTAAGAAGCTTTTTATATTAAAATTAAATGAGTACTGAATGAGCTTCTAATAATATTTTTACGATTTTTACCATCTTTCAGTGTTAAGATTCTCATTTGAAGTTTATTAGTTACATTATTACGGCAAACAATAATATTAATAGATATAATATATTAATAATAATAGGTTAAGATAGGTTAGTTAAGATAGTTTTAAAAATGAAAGGAAAAGTAATTGGGAGTTAGTTGAATAATGGTTAAATCAAAGTAAAACATAAAGTTGTGAATCAAAATAATTTAATAAAATGAAATATATATTGAAAAATTAATATATTGTATAAAAACGAGATTTAATAAACACTTCTACTGTTAAGTAGTCGTCATAGAAGTCAGAAAACTCAGAAACCAATAGGATAAGTAATTTAGAATAAATCTCTTAACAAAGTCATTATATCTTCTAAAATAACAAATATATATATTTTAAAAATTTTTGAAAATATCAAATCGGAAGTTTATTTAAAGGCTGAAGGAATGGCAAACATCCTATGAAAACATCCTATATGTAGAATTTAGTTAAAACAATAGTTTGTATGTTCTTCCTTTTAAAGTATCTTAAACGAGAAGTCTCTTTTTTTGTATATCATGAATTTGAGAGTTAATTTCAATAAAAATATATTGTTTTCTTTATGGATTTTTAAATTTTTTGGGTTACAGAAATTCTACAAAAATTGTCAGTATGAGAGAAGGTATCCATTTTAAGAGTTCAGTACTTATTACTCTAAAGATACTATTAAAAATTAGGACTATAAATTTCACTTCAATTATAAAAAATTTAACCATTTTTGTTAAGCAATACTTTGAATTCTTAGAATATTATACAAATGATATCTTTCCAATGAAGAAAACTAACAAGATATATGACTTATTGCTTAACTATTACTTAACTACCTACCAATATGATGTTTATGACATTAGCTCTACAAAAATAGCATCGACCAAAAAATCTACATATTTATACGAGTATATACCTAATATATGCAATTTTTATTTAAATAATGTAAAATATTATATTAATCAACTACTGCACAATATAAATATGCTATTATGCACTGCAAAATACAAAATGAGCCCATTTAAAAAAATGCATATACGTATAAACTATTATTTGATTAGGTGCTTTTTATGTTTGTCTTACGCCTTTATATGTTAAAAAATAAGCGCACTGCAATATTAGACAAAAAATATATAAAAAAATATTAATTAAAATTATAATAAGAAAAAATTAAAAAAGCAAAAAAAATCTCTTTCTTCTCTTCATGCTTACAAATATAAAATTATGGTTAAATAGGAAACTAAAACCAGCACCCTGAATTTCTCATCGTTTAAGTCAAGCTTTACTTCCAATGTTAATTTCCTGAAGAGAAGGTAAAAACCTTAAAAACTTCATAGTATAGAATTTATTGACTAAAATTTCATATGTTTTTCTACCTTTTTTTCTTTCTTTCTTTTTTCTCTGCTATTTGGTTACTTTCAAAATTTTCCCCTGCACACTTTAATCAAAAAAAAAAAAAATAATAATAAAATAATATAAAATAAAAACAATCATATAAATATAAAATAAAAATCATCAATAAATTCCAAATTATAAAACCCTGACACCATAACATCATATATATTCACCCGCAACATAACAGATTTAGTTCGGGGGATTTATCCTCCGAAGCGGATGATGTCGATCCAAATGATTTACCACCAGCCGCACGTCCTATACAGGACCAACCAACGAAACCACCAATTGGTACTGGCGGACCACCGAGTATGCCACCACCACCGGCACCAGGTGCAACAGCACCACCAGGCACTGCTGCACCAGAGCTTTCATTAAGTTTCGGTGGTGCTGGTAAAGCGGCTCCAGCACCACCGCGTGGTGTTAGCGCTCCCACCAGTCCAGCTAAATCGCGCGAAAGTTTACTCCAACGCGTACAAAGTTTAACAGGAGCTGCACGTGATCAAGGCGCTTCCATATTAGGTACATACAAAAACTAAAATATTTTATAAAGTTTATATAAAAGATATGATATATATTTATTCAAAACAAAATTGTAATTGTAGTCTTAATATCCTCAAAAATAGTAAATTTGATTGAACTTAAAGAGGTGTGAAAGCCAAAAGTTATTTTTCAATAATTTTTCAATCAATTAGGCATATAGCACAAAGTGCTATCCTTAGACAGTACCAACAGCTATCTACAGGCAGTACCAGTAGCTATATTCAGATAGTACCAATTACTATGTATTAATTGAACCCACTAATAATTAAACACAAAAATATTTATACAAACTTTTTACAGGTATTTAGCTAATTTGTCTCCAAAAAACTACTACATTTTTCTATAAATAATGAACAAAATAATAGTAATAGGAATGATAATATAAACAGAGTCTTATATACTAGATTTTTTAATATATTAGCAGAACAATTATGAAAAAATGGATTTTTAGTAGTTAAAGTGATTTTATTTTTCAATGTAAATTTCTTTGACTTTAATAATAATAACTCAACGATCATCAAATTTTTATATTAGATATCTGTGGTAGTTCTCTGAAGGTCTGTAAAATACTCTATTGCTTAGAAACAACTAAACAAAGAATGAATTAATATATCTAAATCAAATTTTGACTATCGTATATATAGTTTATAATTTAAACTATATTAATTGATATATTAAATTGTATATATTGAATATATATATATATATGTATACATATATATAATTTTTATATCGTATTTTTATATATAATGAAATATTAAAATAGAGTTGTAAATTTAGATTGAATATTGATAAAAGGATCGATCTTCTTAAACTTATTGGTTAACTTAGTATCGTGTTTTTAACAATCGACTGTGTTGTTTCACTAAGCATAATAATTTTCTCACTTTATTACTTTATTATATTAACCCATTATATTAACATTATATTAAAACACGGCTAGTTTTAATAATTTTTAAATATTCAAAGAATATTTTATTATTTTTAATTAAAGATAAACTAAGAACTCTCTTTCAAATAAATATTAAACTTTTGCCATTTACTTAAACTTGTTTTATTTTACTATATACTATGGAAATTTCCCAGTAAAATTTCAAGTATAAAATTACGTGGTACTTAATGGGTTAATAGTCCACCTGAAATTACATTAAAATTATAGTATAAATATTGTTAATATTTTTACTTATTCCTTTAGACTTCTATTTTATTAAGTTTCCAATTAATGAATTTCAAATGTGAACTCATTATCGAAAAACTAATCAAATAAACTATTCTGAAATAAGTTTGCCGTGTGCGAGTTTGAGTAAATTGATGGTAAATTAAGGGAAAGAGTAAATTATGTCGGTATGGCAGCGAATGTTGGTATTTGCCAAAATTTCGAGTAGGGTAAATTAGAAAAAAATAGGTATATTAGGTATTACCATTGTAAAAATTTTATAAGATATTTAATAAATAAATAAATAATATTTGAAAACTTAATAAATAAGTGCAATAAATAAATAAATAAATATTTAAATAAGTGCAATAAGTGCAATGCAAAAAATTCCTAGAAAATTTCAATTTACTTTACCTTAATTTACTCGCACTTGCACACGCCTTAAAGTAAACTAAATATTTGAGTAAAATATATTAGAAAAAAATAAGAAGTAAAATAATTTAAACTCAAATTGCTACTATATTTAAATTGTTCATTATATTGAAGTATTTTTTAAATAAAAAAAAATTATTTAATTTAATAGATATAAAAAATCAATGAAAAAAAAATAATTATAAAAAAAATATTAGATTTAAATATGAGACTTTAAGCAGCGTCAAAAAATGGTGCAAATACTAGGCTAAAGTAGCATCTTCATAAATAGTTCAGCAAATTAACGTCTTTAGAAAAATGTACTCAGACAATCTCATTAAAAAAATAAATGATTAAAAAAGTGTATTTGTGTTCATAATTTTTGGTTTTTTTTTCCAACGCCAACAGGCGCTGCAGTGCAAAGTGCTACACGTGCCCCGGCATTTAACAAGGACAAGTATTTCACTTTGCTGGTGCTCGACGATCAGAACACGGATTGGTCTAAGTACTTTCGCGGTAAACGTTTACACGGCGACTTTGATATACGCGTTGAACAAGCTGAGTTCCGGGTAAGCGCACACACTATGTACATAACCTAAATTGTACTAAATTGTAACATTATATAAGTATCTACGCAAATTTTCCTGCAAAAGATACGGTTGAAAAAAGATACAGTGCAGAAAATATTTCACTTTTCTGTGAAATGTAAACTATGTAAACTAATTTTAAATTTTGCAGATTTTTGTTGTAGTTTTTCGTAATATTTCCATTTATTCTATTTATTTATTTTTTGCGTTTTCTGCAGGATATTTCCTTAACGTCAAGTGCTGAGACTGGACCAGTGGTATCAATGGCTGTTTATAGGGGCGGAACAAGAGTAAGTAAATAGAAACTTGTGTATATAATATTTGTGTGTTCATTTATGTTTTTATTTTGTTTATTTATGCATAATTTTTTAATTACTCTAACCACTTACTTTATATGGCTTTTTGTTTTACTGCATTCATTTTTCATAGTTTTCACTGTAGTTCAACAGCAAAGAACTTGAAAGAAATGGAAAATGCTATATTTTTTATCATTGTTTGTCTAAGTTAAGTGAAGGTGAAGTGCATTTTCTACAAAGGTCACCTTTGCCATATATATTTTAACTTGTCGTTGCGAAAGTGGGTAATATTGCTCTTAATGAGACGCTAACAGTACATAAGGAGCTCTGTGAAAGCTCTTATTGCAATGGGCTGTATATTAATAAATAATATTTATACTCGTATTTTTGTAAATTAATATATTTATTATAATGATTGCATTTAGCTCAGATTTTTCTTAAAATTAATTTACCACTTACTATATTTCTTGAATAGAGTTACAGGAATAAGGCTTTCAGGTGGATTTTTTACCCAATTGATACACAAATGATAAGGCTTTCAAGGATACCAAACTGTTAGTATTAACTGTTAGTATTAGTACGAAAATAATTTCAATAAAATATCTGTAATAAGAAATAAATTGTTAATATTTTCACAAAAGGACATGAATATACGGCCACTAGTGTGACCCTCAGTTATTTTTTCCCCTAATTTTAGTGTACCTTTTTGAAAAATTCAATAATATCGCAATGTATTGAAAATAGTGAACTTAGGTACAGTTTCCCCGTAACTTTTCAATAATTTCTTAATACTAAGGTTTCGAAAAGTAGTGAACTACAACAACAAAAATTCTTTTTAAATTTTTTTAATTAATTGAATTTTTGGCTGACCATACAGTTGTTTTGAATACTGCCAAATATCCAACTTCAGTGATCTTGATCTTGATTCTTGTATTTAATTATTCTTAAATAATTTTTTGTTTTTAAGAATGCAAGTACCAAGGGTTGAACTCGTGCCCTGCCAAATTTGAAGTTCAGAGTCAGTGTTCATTAGCCAACTGACCCAACTGACTGTACTTGAGTTGTATGTTCTGACTTGGAGTTTTGTTAATTTGCTGTGAAAGTTCATTAACAATACTAAATAATTGTGTTCACAATGTCGAGTAGCGAGCTAGGATAACGAACTAGGGTAGTAATTGGGATTTTAGGAAGAATCTACTCATAAAAAGACTAACATTATGAAACCATAGGAAGTTAGTTTATGTTAAGTAATATTTTAGAAATTTTTGTTATGCTATTTAAAAAACCGAAAATCTTAAATTTATCTATTTATACCATTTTATTCATTTTTTAGGTAGCACGCTCTTTTCGTCCGGACTTTGTATTAATACGTCAACCACCACGCGATGGTTCCAACGATTTTCGTTCAACTATTTTAGGTCTTAAGTATGGTGGTGTGCCAAGTATTAATTCTTTGCATTCAATTTATCAATTCCAGGTAAATATATACTAGATCCTTCTCACTATAACATATCAAATCTGTTAATAAACCACAAATAAAATTAATAAAATTATCATTTTAGGATAAGCCTTGGGTTTTTGCGCATTTATTGCAACTACAAAGACGATTAGGCAGAGATGCATTTCCACTAATTGAACAAACATTCTTTCCTAGTCCAAGGGATTTGGTAAGTCTTTAATTATATTTTTTTATATAAAAACATTATTTTTACAAGCAAATAAAACGAAAAAAAAAATTTGTGTGCATTATTATATTTGATTTTATTTGACCATTAAACCAAATAATTAATTCAAATAACATTTGACATATTAAAGCTCTAAGTGAAACAAATTAAATATGCTTAAATCTAAAAATATTTATAAATTAAAATACAAAAATTATGAGTTACAGAAAAAAATAACTTAAAACTGCGAAATAAATGAACATACACATATGTATATACATATATATATATATATTTTAATGGCATTTTTCTATACATTTTCGTATATTGAAATGAATAAAAATGAAAATAAAAACTAATATTGAAAATAAAAATAATATAATGAAACAAAATAAAAAAAAAATAATAAAATAAAATGTTGTGAAATTGACAAACTAAAAATGAAATTTTTTCAAAGTAAACATGGCAACCAACCGGGAATTTGTATATACCGATATTTGCTTAAACCAAAAAAACAATAAATGGATAAAAAAAAAATTAAAAATAAATTATGGATCTGCCATGCATTCTTTGTATGCCGGTGTTCTTCGCCAGTGGCATTTTGCAATGACGCCTTCAGGTGTACGATATGAAGTTGGCATGCAAGCACTGAAATCGGTTTCACACTTGGCAAATGGCGACCATCTACAAAAGTCGGGGCCTTCACGCTGCTGCAAGCATTGGTTGCCAAAACAGGGTTTAATCTACAAAAAATAAAAACAAAAATGAAAAAATAAAATAAAAATTTTGTAATTTTTTATAAAGGCAAAAAAAATTTGCAGTACACACCTCACACTTGCAACCCTTGCGATAGACACCAGAAAATCCCCGTCGCTCTATTACAGACATTTTCAGATACTCCTTTACATAACTGCACAAATTTAAATACGGCGCACGTCCGGCAATGACGTAAAGTTTGCCAACCTCCAAATTAATACCGCAACCAGCATCCGAATCTGGTGTTATGATACGTCCATGTTTGAGCATTTTATGTGCCGCTGAATTCATCTGAAGTCAAATAAAAATTTGCATTATTTTTATATTTTGTAGCTTTTTGAGGTGTCATCTTACCTTGTAAGATTTTTTGATTTCTACTTTGTATGCCACACTGTTCGCTACTAAACGATGTGATTTACGTAGCACTCGCAACACCACAACTGCAAGGAGATATAATGAAATATATATATATATATGTATAGTATAGTTTTATGTAACTTGTAGATAAATAATAGTAAAATGTCGAATTTAGTAACATTAAGTGACATTTTAAGTAACTGAGGTAAATATTTATTAAGAAAACCATAACAACCGTAAAGTTACTATTGCTCCTTTGACAATTAAATTTGCGGTGGAACCACATACTTTGCAAATTTTATCGTTCATGGTTACAACTCTTAGTTTGCGTCTACTAAATTTAGCTGTGTGGTAAGAGTCTTAAATTGTGGTTTTTCACAGTTGAAAATTTCAAAATTAGATATAAAAATCTCAAGTAAGTATTCACTAAACCGCTGATAATGTTAGTATGGTAGCTAAAATATATTTATAGAATTGCCTTCATGATTAAAATAAAAAAATTGGTAATGATAATAAGAAAAATATTGCTTATATGCTATTATGCGTTTACGTTTATAACTAATGGAAGTTAAAGTATTTTAAAAATATTATTCGAGTAATTTTATAGTTAACATAAATACAATCTGGTTTCTGAAACTAATAAAATACATATAAAAAATAACTATTCATTAATTAGTAGCGCTAAAATATTAAAAAGGGTCTCTAAACACCTCATGAACTGTACTAAGGGTGAACTTACATCCATTTTGAATTGACTCTGTACTGTTTTCAAGGTTTTTATTCCGTTGTTTAAAAAGCTTACAAAATCATTCAGTTTCAGAAAATATTTCAAAATATTTGCAATACTTGCAGTCTCAAAAATAATTATTTACGAATAATTAAATACAAGAATTATTTTCAAGACCACTGATGATTGGTATTTGGCAATACTCGAAACAGTTGTACGGTCAGTCAAAAAATACAACTAATTAATATAATATAAAATTAATTTTTGTTGTTGTAGTTAACTACTGTTCGAAAAAAATTCTTTTAGAAAATATTTCAATAAATTGCAGTATCTTATGAAGGACTATACTTGACGCGTAAGAAAAAGAGTTAGTTCAGTAGGATTGGTTGGCTATGTTTGAATTGTTTGATTGTCTAACCCATTCACCTCAATTGTGATTTTAATAAAACAGTTCTGGTATCTGATATATTATCCTATATCCTGCGGCAATTAAGTTTTTAAGTTATTAATTATTAAATTATTAGGCTCAGTGGGATTTTTTGTCTATATTTGAACTATTTGATTGTCTAACTTAACCGACTCAATTGTGGTTTTAATGGAATAGTTCTGGTATGTGATATGTTTTCTCAATGAAGTTTGGGGCAATGAAGTTTTTAAATTATATGTTATATTTTTAAAGTGAACGTTGAAGCAAAAATAAGTAAATTATGAGATTAAAGACTATCAAATTTTAAGATAATAGTCCCCTAATCTCTTTATTCATAGTATTGCTTTATACAAGCATATCATAAAGCATCTAATCATACAATACAAATAGAAACTATTTGTATTTCTGTTATAAAAATACAACATAAAAACATTAGGTTGGCTTAAAAATGTCACGTTTAAATTTTCATTTCTTGTAATAAATTTCTATAAATTCCTATAAATATATAATAAAAAGAACTTACCATAATCCGCAGTGCAGAAATGTGTCTGTGGATGACTTGGCATGCAAGAGCACGCATCCGCAGGATTACTTTGTATTACCAGAATAGCAAGCAATGCCAATATCAATATACTTAAACACTTTTTATTTAACATCGTGATAACGTGTATATACCAATTCAAACTTCAAATGTAGAATTTTCTTTCTTTCACACTAGAAATAGAAATAAAATTTTAAAATAAAATAAATTAAAAATACAATTTAAAAAAAATATTAAAAACTATAATTTTGATTAAAGTACAATGGAAATATTAAAATCTACTACTAAAAATGTTTAAAAATTAACTTTACTCAAGTGTTTCTTTCAGCTTATGTAAAGTGCAATTTGAAATGTTTTTTTAATCATTATTGAATTTCTTTCTAAAGATCATAATGGAGCATTTATGAGAGTACTTGAGAACTATTCATTGGAAAACTTTTTAAGTTGACACTAACATATGTACACTTATCGGCTTCTCTATTAAACATTGAACAGTAAATGTTATAATAAATGTAAAATGAAGTATTTTAAGTTTATACTTTACTCTTATCTTTATTTTCCGCTTTGACGTATTCAAGCAAAAGATGTAAAAAATAAAATTCAATTTTAAATTTAATTAAGTGAAGTATAAGAATTTATCTAATCCTCTATGTCCTTGCATTAAACAAAATTTATAGCGACTGTGAAGTATTCGTAGTGCAAGCATAAAAAGTTTATGTTCATCTTACTGAAGAGAGCTGAAAATGGATTTCAACATAAATCAATTTTAGTAGATTCTTTTAAAATAAATCACTTGTTAAATTTCCTTACATTTAATAATCACTGCGTATTTTTGATTATGCTGTCATAAAAAATTTTTAATTTTGTTTATCTCTTAAATGGTATATAAATATTATTAGTTTTTATAAAATAAACAAATTTATAAACGAATATTAAAAAATTTAATAATAATTAATTTTCTTTAAACTACTTTAAATATGCACAACATCATTTATTACAGAAAATGTGCTAAACATAAATAATGGTTACAAGTTCCAATAAAATAAGCCAAAGAATGTTCAAACATAAACTGAATTAAAAATGATTAATTGATTAAGTATAAAATTTGGCACTATATTGTGCATTTACTTTAAGGTTGGAATTTTTTTTTAATTTTTAATGAAAAAATTAAATTAAAAATTAGTAATTAATTTACTACACAGCCAACGCGATATTTACTGTCATCTACACCATTAAATGTGTTATCCATTTTACGGTTCAAACGTAATTTAAACACACTTGTGATTATAATTTTGATCAAAATACTTATGCCCACTAAATAAGACCTTGCCTATAAGGTATAAGATATAATGCCGTAAGGTTTGAATTACATTCTTATTCAAGTAACATTATAGGGACTGATTCCTTCCGATGTGATTTAGGGTGACTTGTCAACATATAGAATAAGCATAAGAAAGAACAGGGTACTAGCTTCCATTTGAGCAGAGCACCGCGACCATGATTGATCTTTTGTGCTACAACAGACCCTAACTGAACAAAAGACATTCCGCCTTTCGAATGAAGGCCAAAATGTCGGTTGTTGAGGACCTCCTAGTGTCGGAAGGTGATAGCAATTTCTGATCCAGTGATCTCCTCCTGGCCCAGATCAAAGCTGGGCAGTAACATACTTGTCAACATATAATTGCTAGTGCAACAAAGTCAAAACAGTAAGTATTGAAAGCTTTGTTACACTATCATGCTGATATTTCATGTCTTCCAGATTCATATCTTCAATTTCAAGCCGAACAAATTTAAATAATAGCATGTAAAATTGTGTTTGTTTTGAAAATTGTTCCAATAATCGTAAAGACTGGTCAATGGTCAAGTCTCTAACATTGCATATCTAAGAACTTAATCTTAAAGTTAAAGAAAAAGTTCCCAGTTATCTCTATTCCGTGTCATGTATCTAAGTTCGTTAAGCAACTTGGATGTTTCAGTTAATACTGTTCGGTCCCATGTTTTCTTTATACGTTATCTTCTTCTTGATCCAGCCGCCATTAGATCTTCTTTTAAATGAGGCATTCTGAATGTCATTTGAAATGTTAAGTATATTATCATTAGTTGGGCTCAGTTGTCTACACAAAATGTGCTATAGTCGCGGGTATTTACTTCACAGAAAAACCGGAATTCTGTTTAATTCTATTCCTTTTTATTTTAAAAATACAAACACCATCTTTAATTCTAATCAGTTTCAATACCACGTTTTTCAAAGTTCAAGATTTCTGCTCAGAAATGTCAAACATAGTATTACAAATATAACTTTCATATAATGTGCGAAGAGCATTCAAATAAGTAATAAGTAATTTCTTAGAAAAGTGTGACAACCATGGATAAATCGCATTAATAATTTACTCTAAGTATACTAGACACATTCTTTTTCCTGATTAAATGTACTGAATAATTTCTAATATTCATCAATCCTTCAATCACTTTTTCAGAGTGTTTACTTACTTAATTTGATTTCTTTTATTGATTGAGTATATTTTTGGAAAAATTTCATATCAAATAAAGAATAAGTAATAAATCAAAAGAAAAGAGAAAAATAAATATTTAAAATATTTATAAATGAAATGTGAATATTAAATGAACTTCACAGATTCTTACTCACACACTATAAGCAAGAAAAAAAACTTCTTCGCTGTATTCGTAATTTATTTTCTATATATATATATATATTGTGCTGATTTCATTTCCTTATGAAAAATGAATCTAAAAACGCATTTAGACTGATTTTGACAATTAATAAAAAAATATGTAGAAATAAATTAAAACCGCAAATTCAATTTATGTAAATTTTACCTGCGCGTAGCAGATTAAGATGACAGCCCACAATAGAATCTGATTCCAACCCCAGCATCTTGATGTATCCGTGCACTCCACATACAATATATTATAATTTTTAATAATTTTTTATTTATATTCTTTGAGGCTGCTTAGTAGCAGTGTCAATTGTCATGTTGACAGCAATGCGCCAGGCGGTTAGCTATAAGCACCCAGTGTACCCATCGTGCGTTCTTAGCTCCAAGCAATAGTATCAAGCAATGTTGTTGTTGTGTTGTTGTTATTGATGGCGCACGTTTGTGGTTTAACCCAATGCGTGTGGCTTACAATTTCCGTCATGATTAAATTCAAAATTTATATTTATTGTTTACATATACGTGTTGGCTTATTAAATATCACATCTCACAGATACAATAGAAGATGTGCGAGCATTAAAAGATGTGCTAACACATGATTTTGTAAAAAATTTGGCTGATTTTGATATGAATTGGATACGGAAACAATGACCCTTTTTCTTAGATTTTTTTTTAATTAAATGTCATTTAATATATATATGCGACGAGAGGACAAAGATTTGTTCATTAGGCATGTTTATGACGATGACGTTTGACATCTTATAATATTTGTGCATATTATAAATATTTTTTTCGTGCTTTTGGAATATTGAAACGAATATATTGTAGAAAATTCTTAGATCTTTAGAACAAATCAAAGAAGTTTTTTGGTATAAAAACGTACTATCTTCTATATGAGTGCTATGGCATAAGTTATTAAATACGACCAAGGAAATTAAAATCAGCAAAATATCACCTTATATTCTATAATTATTATTATTTTATTGATTCATGATAGTAATAACTGAAAAAACAAATATCAAATTCATATTTTATTTTTATTTTTGTTTATTTTTATTTATTTTGGGTTCTTTTGACTTATATGTTAATTGCTCTTCAATATATTTATTATGTAGTTAACATTATGAACAACTCTTAACAGTCTAAATCAAATGGTTTAATATATAATATATTATATTTGTTATTTATTTGATTGCATTCAATTAACATTAGAATTGTAAAAATGTGATGACTTACTGCGTCATAACTTATCAGATTGGATGTTGAAATGTCGAAACAATGTCAAAATGCATCGATTTCAATTCAATTCAATTTTTATTGATAATGCTCATTTTAATTAAGATGCATTTGAAAATGAAAAGAAAACTATCGTTTATGTACAGATCCTACGGTACTAGTTCCAAACAATTGCTTAAAGCAGTGATACCTACATATAGGTTAATAATTGTATGAGGACATAGTATACTTTATCTACTTACTGTCAAAGTTGGAAGCAATGTATTTGACATCTTACATAATCACAGTTTGTCTATGTTGGACGGATGTACGAAATGCTTAAAAATAAATACGCTAATAAATAAATATCCCACTCACAGTTTTATCGTTGGTTTGGTCTGCTACTTGAATGTTGATGGGACCTTGAAAACGGTGATCATGACTGTCAGAATGTTATACGCTCCGGCGCACGACTCTAAAATCTATAAAGTTTAGCATTGCATAGAAACTTAAAAAATTTTCTTAAGGAGTTCGTCAAGTATATTACCCTAGTAACTGATGATGAAATCTATTACTTCCTATCCGAGCCGAATAAAAAGACTTCGAGATCAGCTCAGAAGTCGCCAGTAAAGTAGAGTTAAAAAACAGAAAACTTATGTAGATCAAACTCAAAACAATATGCGATAGCTTTCTTCGATTCAAAGAGAATTGTACACAGTGAATTCATCACAGAAGGTTAGACGTTGAGAGCTGATTATTATCTACAGTTCTATTATGTTTATAAGCCAGAATATTACGAGTTCATTCGGAAAATCAAAGATAAAGATTTTATTACATATTGGGTCATAACTTTTTAAAGCATGATATTTTAACTATAGGATTTGTCTGATAATATGTAAAGAATGACTTCATTCCATGCTTGTTATATAGTATTGTCTAACATATGCTAATTTGCGTATATAAACTGAAGACCTTTAAAACAGATATAACAAAATTTAGATGACGTTAGCTTTTCTTAATCATTGTGTAATATTGTATTTTATAAGTAAATGTTAGAGATTTTAGATTATACACAATAATGATATGCTTTCTTTGAAAAATTACAAAGTAACTGCATTAATTGTTTCACAGATTTATATAAATTTTTATATGAGTATAGAGTACAGTTTTCTTTAATACGTTCCATCTAGCACAGAGAATGAACTTGCTTTAGTTGCAATTATTTTCAGTACAAGATAAACGAATCGGCACAAGTTAAAGTCATTTTATATAGCAGGGAAAGG